AAAATCTATTCGAGATCTTATGGAGGTGGCAGAAAAGGTGTACAATCGCCGTTGAAACTCTGAGCAAAAGAGAAGACCGCATCCGCCAGGAAGAACGGAAGGTAAAGGGCGGCTGAAACGCACGCCACACTCGGGATATGGCCAGAATCCTGTCGCCGTCACTCAAAAGGACGGCCTGTGGTTAAGCTACACCCCTCCCGCCGCCCCAGCTCCACAGGGAGGCAGGACCCTACAGCGTGATCAATGTGCATTACTGCACTCAAAAAGGACACTGGGCCAAACATTGCCCAAAGAAACGGGGAATAACTCAAACCAACCCCGCCGTTTCTGACACTCCTGTCCTGGTGCTCGGGGGCACAAGAGATGACAGTGACTAGGACCGTCAGGGCTCGACCCTCCCCGAGCCCCGGCTAACCTTAAAAGTGGAGGGGAGACCCGTTAATTTCCTTGTGGACACGGGGGCACAGCATTCAGTCCTCACGGAACCCTTGGGTAAACTTTCCGGTAAAACTTCGTGGGTGCAAGGGGCTACGGGATGCAAGCAGTATCCCTGGACCACGAAAAGATCTGTAGACCTGGGAAAAGGTCAGGTCTCGCACACCTTCGTTGTAATTCCTGAATGCCCGTACCCATTAATTGGAAGAGACCTTTTAACCAAGGTAGGAGCGCAAATCTCATTTGGACAGGAAGGTGTCGAAATCAAGGACTTTAAGGGCTCTCCCCTACACGTCCTCACGATTTCCCTTCAAGATGAGTACCGCCTTTTGGTGGCGCCAGATCACCCACCCCTTTCTGGGTGGTGGATGGAATCTTTCTCGAATGTTTGGGCAGAAACCGGGGGCGTTGGCCTGGCGTCCCACAGACCACCCATTATAGTCCAGCTAAAGCCTGGGGCTGAACCCATTCGGGTAAAACAGTACCCTATGCCTGCAGAAGCCAAGACAGGAATAACGCCTCATATTCGGAGGCTATTGGACAGTGGTATCCTTAAAACATGCCATTCGTCATGGAACACCCCTTTGTTACCGGTGCGAAAACCACACTCGCAAGACTTCAGGCCGGTACAGGACCTCAGAGAAGTAAATAAACGGGTCATAGATATCCACCCCACAGTCCCAAACCCTTATACCTTGCTGAGTGCCTTGCCACCTACTCATGTGTGGTACACAGTATTGGACTTAAAAGATGCCTTCTTTAGTCTACCACTAGCACCCCAAAGCCAGGAAATGTTTGCCTTTGAATGGCAGGATGCGGAACGGGGCATCAGTGGACAATTAACTTGGACAAGGTTGCCTCAAGGGTTTAAAAAACTCTCCCACCCTTTTTGACGAGGCCCTTCATGAGGATTTAAGAAAATTCCGCAGCCGATTTCCCGAACTAACTTTGCTCCAGTATGTTGATGATCTGTTACTTGCAGCGGAAAGTGAGCATGCCTGCCGAACAGGAACAGCCGAATTACTGACGGAACTGGGCCAGATGGGATACCGCGTCTCCGCAAAAAAGGCACAAATTTGCCTGCCCGAGGTAATCTATCTGGGCTACCGCCTCAAAAACGGTTATAGGTGGCTGACGGAAGCCAGAAAAGCTACTGTCTTACAGTTGCCGACACCCACCACCAAAAGGGAGGTACGTGAGTTCCTGGGATCTGCTGGGTTTTGCCGGCTATGGATACCTGGATTCGCAGACCTGGCCCAACCCTTGTATGAGGCTACCCGGGAAAAAGTAACTTTTCAGTGGACTCCCCAGATGCAGCAGTCTTTTGAGTCCTTAAAGAGGGCTTTACTGTCTGCACCAGCCCTGGGTCTTCCGGACATTACAAAGCCTTTCCATTTGTTCGTAGATGAGGCAAAGGGCATAGCTAAAGGGGTGCTCACTCAGTCCTTGGGCCCCTGGAGGCGTCCTGTGGCTTATCTGTCTAAAAAGTTAGACCCGGTGGCGTCCGGCTGGCCACCGTGCTTACGCATGGTGGCAGCGGCTGCCCTCCTTTTCAAGGACTCCCAAAAACTGTCTCTGGGACAAGTTACTTCCATAACCACCCCCCATGCGGTGGAAGGAGTCCTCAGGCAGCCGCCAGAGAGGTGGATGAGTAATGCCCGAATCACGCATTACCAAAGCCTATTGCTCAACCCAGAGAGGGTCAATTTTTCGCCACCCACGGGGCTAAACCCCGCCTCCCTCCTACCTGCCCCTGACCTGGAGGCCCATCTAGACTGTGTTGATATCTTGGCCCAGGTCCAAGGGTTACGCCCTGATCTGCGAGATAACCCTCTGCCGGACGGACTGGTTTGGTTTACGGATGGGAGCAGTTTTATCCACGAGGGCCGAAGAGCAGCAGGGGCGGCAGTGGTGTCCATGCAGGAAGTCATATGGGCTGAGCCTTTGCCATCCGGGACGTCCGCTCAAAAGGCTGAACTAATTGCCCTAACCAAAGCTCTCACCTTGGCTCGAGGGAAAAATTTAACTGTGTATACTGACAGCAGATATGCATTTGCCACGGCCCACGTACACGGGGCCATATATCGAGAGCGCGGGCTCTTAACCTCCGACGGCAAAGGCATTAAAAACGCTCAAGAAATTATGGATCTCCTGGCAGCGCTGTGGCTACCACGTAAGCTGGCTATAGTACATCATCCAGGTCATCAAAAGGACTCCTCGACTCCAACTCAAGGTAATAAGCGGGCGGATGAGGCAGCACGCCAAGCTGCCCTAATGCCGGTAGATGCCCTGACAGTAAAACTCCCAGACCCAGGGGACCCGCAGCTGCCGGAAGACCCAGAGTATAGTGCTATGGACTTTGACTACATACAGTCTCTACCGGGTGCTTTTTCTTTGGGACACTGGTGGTACACCCAAGAAACTAAGGCCATCTTGCCAGCACACTTGGCCACTGATCTCATTCAGCGCTTGCACCGAGCCACGCATTTGGGAGAGAGAAAAATTCTAACTCTAATCAGGCAATGGAACCTCCATGTCCGGGACGCAACCTGTACCGTGCGACAAGTAGTGGCATCCTGCCAGTCGTGTGCCATGGTAAACGCCACCAAGACAACCGGTAAACCAGGAATGAGGCCGCGAGGAACGCGCCCGGGGGTCCATTGGGAAATAGACTTCACCGAGGTAAGACCAGGTAAATTTGGCTATCGATACCTGCTGGTCCTGGTGGACACGTTTTCCGGATGGCCGGAGGCGTTCCCGACAAGAGGTGAGTCAGCTCGAGTGGTAGCCAAAATCCTGTTGGAAAACATTTTTCCTAGATTTGGGTTTCCAGTGACCATTGGGTCAGACAATGGACCAGCCTTTGTCTCTCAGGTATCGAAATCTGTGGCTTCTGCCCTGGGAGCAGAGTGGAAGCTCCATTGTGCCTATCGGCCCCAGAGTTCAGGGCAGGTGGAGAGAATGAACAGAACTTTAAAAGAAACTTTAACTAAATTAACTTTAGAGTCTGGCGGGGACTGGGTGACTCTCCTTCCCTATGCCCTCTTCCGGGCTCGCAATTCCCCTTATCGTCTGGGTCTGTCTCCGTTCGAGATTATCTATGGAACCGCCCCCCCAACCACACCGCACGGTGCGCAGTTAGCTTGTGATTTGCCTTCTGATTGTGAACTTTTTCTTTCTGTGTGGGCTGTACAGCAGGCTCACCAGGAGGTCTGGCCCCGCCTCAGAGCGCTCTATGAAGGGGGAGGACCTTCTCAGACAGCCCACAAATTTCAGCCTGGAGATCTTGTCCTTGTCCGCCGACACAAGACCGACGGTCGTGGCCTCCAGCCCCGGTGGAAGGGTCCCTACATCGTCCTCCTGACCACACCCACCGCACTCAAAGTGGACGGCATCGCGGCCTGGGTTCATCACTCACACGTCAAGACGGCACCAACTGACGACTCCCAGCTGCAGTGGCGAGCCCGGAAGCATCCCACCAATCCACTCAAGCTGACTCTTCAGGCGCTCCCGGCTACAACCCATCGCTCCCAGACCACTGCCCACGCCGTGAAAAATGACACCAAACTGTAATGTTGGCTACCTACTGTCCTTCCTTTGTTTTCTCCTTGTCGGGGCTGACTGGGATCCCTGCCGACGGTGCATCACCGAAGGCATATTCGGTCATATTCAGAGCAAGTGCTATGTTAGTAAGCGTGCTTGCAGCCTTAAGGGAGTTCCTTTGTTTGTGGCGACCCTGATTAAGGGCACCACCCATGGATGTCCAGGTACAGTGGGGAGGGTGGTCTGTTGGAAGCGTTTAAATCAAATGCCGCCTAAAAATGAAAGTTGCAATCACTGTAAAGAGGGGGGGAGTTTTTCAGCCTATACCTTTGTTCATTCACAGTGCTATGAAAGGTCTACTGTTTATCAGTGCACAGAGTCCAATCGAACTTTCTGGACTGGTATATCCTTAGGAAATAACGCGGGATATGTATGCCCTGTCAAAGCAGGAAAACCCTTTTGTTGGACTCTGCAAACCCACTGGGGGATGACAGATGGTGGGGGTGTGCAAGACCACGCACGAAAGCAGGAAGTTCAGAGGGTTTTTGAACAAGTTGCCCAAACACAGGATCGGTGGTTCAAGCCGATACACATCCCAGGCCCGGTGGGTTCCCTTAAATTGGAAAAGACAGTACAGGCCATGTTAGACTCAGCCCTACAATTTTTAAACAAGACCAACCCAACCCTGGCCAGCGATTGCTGGTTATGTCTAAGAGAAGGACCCCCCCGTTACACAGCGATCCCTGCTGTGTACAACTGGATTAATTGGACGAACCTAAAGGGCCCAACCCATACGTGTAACCAGACCTTGCCCATCAATAATGTCAAGCTCTCCCCAACAGTTGCTCAGATGCCATGCCTTAGTCACAATGGGACCTTAAGAGTGGGTCAAGTAAATAAGGTACTCTGCAGTTCAGTAGTCAGTGCAACTAAGGCGCCCAGTTTTAATGGCTCTGCCTCTATGTGCCCGCCGGCACTGGGCACTATTTTCTTCTGTGGCACCACAGCCTACCCCGTACTCCCTGCTAACTGGTCGGGCTTGTGCATTTTAACATATCTCATGCCCGATGTGGGAGTGGTCCCAGGCAACCAAAGCCTTCCCATACAGCTCATCCAGTCTGTGCCTGCCGGACATAAGCGGGCCATAATTACCCCACTACTGCTCGGCCTGGGGGTGGCAGCCGGAGTGGGGACCGGAGTTGCTGGAATTGGGACCTCTGTTAACCTTTACCAAAAAATTTCAGCTCAGCTGGTGGGGGACATTGGGCGGCTAGCAGATACAACCTTAGAGTTACAGTCTCAGTTAGACTCTTTGGCCGCGGTGGTCCTGCAAAACTGCCGCGGGCTAGATCTTCTCACAGCAAAGGAAGGAGGCATCTGTCTCTACCTGCGGGAAGAATGTTGCTTCTATGCTAACAAGTCAGGAATAGTTAGAAATAAAATTAAGCAATTACAAGAGGAACTAGAACACCGGAGAAAAAAGCTAGAAGACAACAATGCATTTCTTTGGGAAGGCTTAGGAGGATGGCTGCCCTATCTCTTGCCTCTTCTGGGCCCAGTCGTTACCCTCTTCTTAATTCTGTCTATCGGGCCCTGTGTCATTAATCGACTCGTGGCCTTTATTAAACAACGGGTAAACACGGTCCAGTTAATGGTGCTGCGCTCCCAATATGCCCCCTTACGCCAATATAACTCTCCCCAACAACCCCTAAAACAGGACCCCTCCCAATACATAGGAGTGGAGCCCTGACTGTTTCCCCTCATCGCCCACTTTCAGCAGGAAGCAGTTACTGATCAGAACGACGCCCCTTTTCCCTGACTGCAGTTAGGGGCTCCATTCCAAAAAGGGAGGAATGAGACATAGGGCGAGTTAGGGTGATTAAGCAAGTTTCAGGAACAGTACAAAAGAGGACCTCTAAGGAGTTTAGAAAGGCTTCAGGGATAAAAACAACTAAAGAAACATCTCTTGTTTAAGCAGAGTAATTGTCATTTGTGGCTGAGAACTTTTGCTGGACCTATAACCCTGTGAATGAACAACAAAATGACACATAATGTGACTAAACGTAACCATAATTCTGAGACTGACTAACTGATAAAAGGCTTGGTAGCTGTGTTATTTTCTTAACTGACTAGCCGTTTTTTTTTCAAAAAAAAAAAAAAAAAAATGGGGAAATGTGGAACCAAGCTTAGCTGAGGTTTCGCCATTTTGTATATCCTCCACCTTGATATGTTAGTCCTTGTCCTGCCGCATTCCGGAGATAGTTTCAGCAGTCACAACCCTCACTCCACTTGGTGACGAAAAAGCAGACCACCCCAGCCACCAATGAGGGCAGTCCTGTCCATAAATGGGACAGCATCTCTAACCGTCCAATCAGTTTGAAACTGTAACCGCGCGCGCCCAAAGTGCCTTTGTAGTAGCCAATGAATAATTGCCAACTTCTTTCAAAGTTCCCGCCACTCGCGACCCTATAAGATGTCCCAGCTTCCTCTGTTCGGGGCTCTCGACCTCTGCCGTTGCATCGGTGCGTGTCGAGGGCCCGGTCTCGAGCCCGTATTAAACTCCTTTGTGCCCTTGCATCGGTTGTCTGTGTCCTTGGGGGCTGCACTGGTCGACGTGGGCACAACATTTTGGGGGCTCGTCCGGGATCGACGAGTGCAGACCCCAACTGCCGAGCAACCGAAAGGAGTTCTAAAGCGCGCAGGTGAGTTCCAACACTCGCCCAGGTAAGCTTCAAGTCTGCAGACCTGTAGTTGTACTTAGTACCTGTATCTTTTGTACTTTGTACCTGTAGAAGCTGTTTTGTACTTAGTACCTGTATCTTTTGTACTTTGTACCTGTAGAAGCTGTTTTGTACTTAGTACCTGTATCTTTTGTACTTTGTACCTGTAAAAGCTGTAATTGTTTGCAAACCTGAAAATCTGTTCAATAGCCGGGTCAGGCTTAAGTGGACGCACTTGAAAGCCGCCGGCGTGGACCGCGGGAGACGTCCCCGGACCACATGTTAGGAAGGCCACACCCTTTGCGGGGAAGCAGATACCCTTTTGGGGGCCTTTTGAAATATCAGTCTTTGGCCTGTTTCTTGTGACGACAGCCACTGTACTTCTAGCATTTGTCATCATGGGTCAATCACCATCTACCCCTCTATCCGTTGTTTTACAGCATTTTAAAGATGTCAGGTCCAGAGGGTCGGACCTCAGTGTAAAAATAAAAAAATCCCCTCTAATCACCTTTTGTTCCTCAGAGTGGCCGAAGTTCGGAGTTGGTTGGCCCCCGGAGGGAACTTTTGATTTACAGATTGTCCGTCGCGTAAAGGAAATCATCACCAGTGAAAGAAAATTCGGACATCCTGACCAACTCCCGTATATCTTAGTCTGGCAAGATCTAGTCCAGAACCCCCCTGCTTGGTTAAAGCCATTTTTGTCGTTACAGGCACAACCCGTACTGCCGGCTAAACTGCTTGGGTCCCACCCCAACACCCCGTCGGCACCTGCGGTTTTCCAAGACTCTACCCCGGAGGAACTTCTATTTCCACCACCCTATCATAACCCTTGTAGTAACCCTCCCCAACTCCTGCGGTCGGCTGACCACCCTCCCCCAGAGGCGGGCGGGGCTCGTGGGCAGGGTCCGGCGGCAGGCACCCGCTCAGTGAAGGCGAATTCCCCGGATTCCACCGTCCTGCCCCTGCGTGTGGCAGGATTGCCTAATGAGCAGGGCAACCAGCCCATGCACTACTGGCCGTTTGCGACCAGTGACCTCTACAACTGGAGAGCACAAAATGCACGTTTCTCTGACAACCCTAAAGACCTTGTTAATCTCCTAGACACTGTTCTATTTACTCATCAGCCCACCTGGGATGATTGCCAACAGCTCTTGCAGGTCCTCTTCACCACTGAGGAGCGAGATCGTATACTGACGGCCGCCAGGAAATTAGTCCCTGGAGAAGATGGCACACCCACCACAAACGCGGCCCGCATAGATTTAGTGTTTCCCTTGACCCGACCTGACTGGGATTTTAACCAGGCTGAAGGTAAGGAGAGACTCCGGGTGTACCGCCAGACTCTAATGGCAGGGTTGCGTGCAGCAGCCCGCAAGCCCACCAATTTGGCCAAGGTAGGGGATGTGCAGCAGGGAAGGGAGGAGACCCCCGCGGCTTTTCTAGAACGCCTCATGGAAGCTTTTCGGCAATATACTCCTATGGATCCGGAGGCAACGGAGAACAGGGCCGCGGTGGTAATGGCCTTTGTTAACCAGGCGGCTCCTGACATTAAACAAAAACTACAAAGAATAGATAGGCTGGGAGAAAAATCTATTCGAGATCTTATGGAGGTGGCAGAAAAGGTGTACAATCGCCGTGAAACTCCTGAGCAAAGAGAAGACCGCATCCGCCAGGAAGAACGGAAGGTAAGGGCGGCTGAAAACGCACGCCACACTCGGGATATGGCCAGAATCCTGTTCGCCGTCACTCAAAAGGACGACCTGGGTAAGCTACACCCCTCCCGCCGCCCCAGCTCCACAGGGACAGGCAGGACCCTACAGCGTGATCAATGTGCATACTGCACTCAAAAAGGACACTGGGCCAAACATTGCCCAAAGAAACGGGGAATAACCTCAAACAACCCCGCCGTTTCTGACACTCCTGTCCTGGTGCTCGGGGGCACAAGAGATGACAGTGACTAGGACCGTCAGGGCTCGACCCTCCCCGAGCCCCGGCTAACCTTAAAAGTGGAGGGGAGACCCGTTAATTTCCTTGTGGACACGGGGGCACAGCATTCAGTCCTCACGGAACCCTTGGGTAAACTTTCCGGTAAAACTTCGTGGGTGCAAGGGGCTACGGGATGCAAGCAGTATCCCTGGACCACGAAAAGATCTGTAGACCTGGGAAAAGGTCAGGTCTCGCACACCTTCGTTGTAATTCCTGAATGCCCGTACCCATTAATTGGAAGAGACCTTTTAACCAAGGTAGGAGCGCAAATCTCATTTGGACAGGAAGGTGTCGAAATCAAGGACTTTAAGGGCTCTCCCCTACACGTCCTCACGATTTCCCTTCAAGATGAGTACCGCCTTTTGGTGGCGCCAGATCACCCACCCCTTTCTGGGTGGTGGATGGAATCTTTCTCGAATGTTTGGGCAGAAAACCGGGGGCGTTGGCCTGGCGTCCCACAGACCACCCATTATAGTCCAGCTAAAGCCTGGGGCTGAACCCATTCGGGTAAAACAGTACCCTATGCCTGCAGAAGCCAAGACAGGAATAACGCCTCATATTCGGAGGCTATTGGACAGTGGTATCCTTAAAACATGCCATTCGTCATGGAACACCCTTTGTTACCGGTGCGAAAACCACACTCGCAAGACTTCAGGCCGGTACAGGACCTCAGAGAAGTAAATAAACGGGTCATAGATATCCACCCCACAGTCCCAAACCCTTATACCTTGCTGAGTGCCTTGCCACCTACTCATGTGTGGTACACAGTATTGGACTTAAAAGATGCCTTCTTTAGTCTACCACTAGCACCCCAAAGCCAGGAAATGTTTGCCTTTGAATGGCAGGATGCGGAACGGGGCATCAGTGGACAATTAACTTGGACAAGGTTGCCTCAAGGGTTTAAAAACTCTCCCACCCTTTTTGACGAGGCCCTTCATGAGGATTTAAGAAAATTCCGCAGCCGATTTCCCGAACTAACTTTGCTCCAGTATGTTGATGATCTGTTACTTGCAGCGGAAAGTGAGCATGCCTGCCGAACAGGAACAGCCGAATTACTGACGGAACTGGGCCAGATGGGATACCGCGTCTCCGCAAAAAAGGCACAAATTTGCCTGCCCGAGGTAATCTATCTGGGCTACCGCCTCAAAAACGGTTATAGGTGGCTGACGGAAGCCAGAAAAGCTACTGTCTTACAGTTGCCGACACCCACCACCAAAAGGGAGGTACGTGAGTTCCTGGATCTGCTGGGTTTTGCCGGCTATGGATACCTGGATTCGCAGACCTGGCCCAACCCTTGTATGAGGCTACCCGGGAAAAAGTAACTTTTCAGTGGACTCCCCAGATGCAGCAGTCTTTTGAGTCCTTAAAGAGGGCTTTACTGTCTGCACCAGCCCTGGGTCTTCCGGACATTACAAAGCCTTTCCATTTGTTCGTAGATGAGGCAAAGGGCATAGCTAAAGGGGTGCTCACTCAGTCCTTGGGCCCCTGGAGGCGTCCTGTGGCTTATCTGTCTAAAAAGTTAGACCCGGTGGCGTCCGGCTGGCCACCGTGCTTACGCATGGTGGCAGCGGCTGCCCTCCTTTTCAAGGACTCCCAAAAACTGTCTCTGGGACAAGTTACTTCCATAACCACCCCCCATGCGGTGGAAGGAGTCCTCAGGCAGCCGCCAGAGAGGTGGATGAGTAATGCCCGAATCACGCATTACCAAAGCCTATTGCTCAACCCAGAGAGGGTCAATTTTTCGCCACCCACGGGGCTAAACCCCGCCTCCCTCCTACCTGCCCCTGACCTGGAGGCCCATCTAGACTGTGTTGATATCTTGGCCCAGGTCCAAGGGTTACGCCCTGATCTGCGAGATAACCCTCTGCCGGACGGACTGGTTTGGTTTACGGATGGGAGCAGTTTTATCCACGAGGGCCGAAGAGCGGCAGGGGCGGCAGTGGTGTCCATGCAGGAAGTCATATGGGCTGAGCCTTTGCCATCCGGGACGTCCGCTCAAAAGGCTGAACTAATTGCCCTAACCAAAGCTCTCACCTTGGCTCGAGGGAAAAATTTAACTGTGTATACTGACAGCAGATATGCATTTGCCACGGCCCACGTACACGGGGCCATATATCGAGAGCGCGGGCTCTTAACCTCCGACGGCAAAGGCATTAAAAACGCTCAAAAAATTATGGATCTCCTGGCAGCGCTGTGGCTACCACGTAAGCTGGCTATAGTACATCATCCAGGTCATCAAAAGGACTCCTCGACTCCAACTCAAGGTAATAAGCGGGCGGATGAGGCAGCACGCCAAGCTGCCCTAATGCCGGTAGATGCCCTGACAGTAAAACTCCCAGACCCAGGGGACCCGCAGCTGCCGGAAGACCCAGAGTATAGTGCTATGGACTTTGACTACATACAGTCTCTACCGGGTGCTTTTTCTTTGGGACACTGGTGGTACACCCAAGAAACTAAGGCCATCTTGCCAGCACACTTGGCCACTGATCTCATTCAGCGCTTGCACCGAGCCACGCATTTGGGAGAGAGAAAAATTCTAACTCTAATCAGGCAATGGAACCTCCATGTCCGGGACGCAACCTGTACCGTGCGACAAGTAGTGGCATCCTGCCAGTCGTGTGCCATGGTAAACGCCACCAAGACAACCGGTGAACCAGGAATGAGGCCGCGAGGAACGCGCCCGGGGGTCCATTGGGAAATAGACTTCACCGAGGTAAGACCAGGTAAATTTGGCTATCGATACCTGCTGGTCCTGGTGGACACGTTTTCCGGATGGCCGGAGGCGTTCCCGACAAGAGGTGAGTCAGCTCGAGTGGTAGCCAAAATCCTGTTGGAAAACATTTTTCCTAGATTTGGGTTTCCAGTGACCATTGGGTCAGACAATGGACCAGCCTTTGTCTCTCAGGTATCGAAATCTGTGGCTTCTGCCCTGGGAGCAGAGTGGAAGCTCCATTGTGCCTATCGGCCCCAGAGTTCAGGGCAGGTGGAGAGAATGAACAGAACTTTAAAAGAAACTTTAACTAAATTAACTTTAGAGTCTGGCGGGGACTGGGTGACTCTCCTTCCCTATGCCCTCTTCCGGGCTCGCAATTCCCCTTATCGTCTGGGTCTGTCTCCGTTCGAGATTATCTATGGAACCGCCCCCCCAACCACACCGCACGGTGCGCAGTTAGCTTGTGATTTGCCTTCTGATTGTGAACTTTTTCTTTCTGTGTGGGCTGTACAGCAGGCTCACCAGGAGGTCTGGCCCCGCCTCAGAGCGCTCTATGAAGGGGGAGGACCTTCTCAGACAGCCCACAAATTTCAGCCTGGAGATCTTGTCCTTGTCCGCCGACACAAGACCGACGGTCGTGGCCTCCAGCCCCGGTGGAAGGGTCCCTACATCGTCCTCCTGACCACACCCACCGCACTCAAAGTGGACGGCATCGCGGCCTGGGTTCATCACTCACACGTCAAGACGGCACCAACTGACGACTCCCAGCTGCAGTGGCGAGCCCGGAAGCATCCCACCAATCCACTCAAGCTGACTCTTCAGGCGCTCCCGGCTACAACCCATCGCTCCCAGACCACTGCCCACGCCATGAAAAATGACACCAAACTGTAATGTTGGCTACCTACTGTCCTTCCTTTGTTTTCTCCTTGTCGGGGCTGACTGGGATCCCTGCCGACGGTGCATCACCGAAGGCATATTCGGTCATATTCAGAGCAAGTGCTATGTTAGTAAGCGTGCTTGCAGCCTTAAGGGAGTTCCTTTGTTTGTGGCGACCCTGATTAAGGGCACCACCCATGGATGTCCAGGTACAGTGGGGAGGGTGGTCTGTTGGAAGCGTTTAAATCAAATGCCGCCTAAAAATGAAAGTTGCAATCACTGTAAAGAGGGGGGGAGTTTTTCAGCCTATACCTTTGTTCATTCACAGTGCTATGAAAGGTCTACTGTTTATCAGTGCACAGAGTCCAATCGAACTTTCTGGACTGGTATATCCTTAGGAAATAACGCGGGATATGTATGCCCTGTCAAAGCAGGAAAACCCTTTTGTTGGACTCTGCAAACCCACTGGGGGATGACAGATGGTGGGGGTGTGCAAGACCACGCACGAAAGCAGGAAGTTCAGAGGGTTTTTGAACAAGTTGCCCAAACACAGGATCGGTGGTTCAAGCCGATACACATCCCAGGCCCGGTGGGTTCCCTTAAATTGGAAAAGACAGTACAGGCCATGTTAGACTCAGCCCTACAATTTTTAAACAAGACCAACCCAACCCTGGCCAGCGATTGCTGGTTATGTCTAAGAGAAGGACCCCCCCGTTACACAGCGATCCCTGCTGTGTACAACTGGATTAATTGGACGAACCTAAAGGGCCCAACCCATACGTGTAACCAGACCTTGCCCATCAATAATGTCAAGCTCTCCCCAACAGTTGCTCAGATGCCATGCCTTAGTCACAATGGGACCTTAAGAGTGGGTCAAGTAAATAAGGTACTCTGCAGTTCAGTAGTCAGTGCAACTAAGGCGCCCAGTTTTAATGGCTCTGCCTCTATGTGCCCGCCGGCACTGGGCACTATTTTCTTCTGTGGCACCACAGCCTACCCCGTACTCCCTGCTAACTGGTCGGGCTTGTGCATTTTAACATATCTCATGCCCGATGTGGGAGTGGTCCCAGGCAACCAAAGCCTTCCCATACAGCTCATCCAGTCTGTGCCTGCCGGACATAAGCGGGCCATAATTACCCCACTACTGCTCGGCCTGGGGGTGGCAGCCGGAGTGGGGACCGGAGTTGCTGGAATTGGGACCTCTGTTAACCTTTACCAAAAAATTTCAGCTCAGCTGGTGGGGGACATTGGGCGGCTAGCAGATACAACCTTAGAGTTACAGTCTCAGTTAGACTCTTTGGCCGCGGTGGTCCTGCAAAACCGCCGCGGGCTAGATCTTCTCACAGCAAAGGAAGGAGGCATCTGTCTCTACCTGCGGGAAGAATGTTGCTTCTATGCTAACAAGTCAGGAATAGTTAGAAATAAAATTAAGCAATTACAAGAGGAACTAGAACACCGGAGAAAAAAGCTAGAAGACAACAATGCATTTCTTTGGGAAGGCTTAGGAGGATGGCTGCCCTATCTCTTGCCTCTTCTGGGCCCAGTCGTTACCCTCTTCTTAATTCTGTCTATCGGGCCCTGTGTCATTAATCGACTCGTGGCCTTTATTAAACAACGGGTAAACACGGTCCAGTTAATGGTGCTGCGCTCCCAATATGCCCCCTTACGCCAATATAACTCTCCCCAACAACCCCTAAAACAGGACCCCTCCCAATACATAGGAGTGGAGCCCTGACTGTTTCCCCTCATCGCCCACTTTCAGCAGGAAGCAGTTACTGATCAGAACGACGCCCCTTTTCCCTGACTGCAGTTAGGGGCTCCATTCCCAAAAAGGGAGGAATGAGACATAGGGCGAGTTAGGGTGATTAAGCAAGTTTCAGGAACAGTACAAAAGAGGACCTCTAAGGAGTTTAGGAAGGCTTCAGGGATAAAAACAACTAAAGAAACATCTCTTGTTTAAGCAGAGTAATTGTCATTTGTGGCTGAGAACTTTTGCTGGACCTATAACCCTGTGAATGAACAACAAAATGACACATAATGTGACTAAACGTAACCATAATTCTGAGACTGACTAACTGATAAAAGGCTTGGTAGCTGTGTTATTTTCTTAACTGACTAGCCGTTTTTTTTTTCAAAAAAAAAAAAAAAAAAAAATGGGGAAATGTGGAACCAAGCTTAGCTGAGGTTTCGCCATTTTGTATATCCTCCACCTTGATATGTTAGTCCTTGTCCTGCCGCATTCCGGAGATAGTTTCAGCAGTCACAACCCTCACTCCACTTGGTGACGAAAAAGCAGACCACCCCAGCCACCAATGAGGGCAGTCCTGTCCATAAATGGGACAGCATCTCTAACCGTCCAATCAGTTTGAAACTGTAACCGCGCGCGCCCAAAGTGCCTTTGTAGTAGCCAATGAATAATTGCCAACTTCTTTCAAAGTTCCCGCCACTCGCGACCCTATAAGATGTCCCAGCTTCCTCTGTTCGGGGCTCTCGACCTCTGCCGTTGCATCGGTGCGTGTCGAGGGCCCGGTCTCGAGCCCGTATTAAACTCCTTTGTGCCCTTGCATCGGTTGTCTGTGTCCTTGGGGGCTGCACTGGTCGACGTGGGCACAACAGCCCAGGACACAAAGATAAATGCAAGGGCATGTAGAAAATAGAGGACTTCTTATCAGCCACTATAACAGATTTTTTTGAACTCCCAAATTAATTTTTCATTACCCCTGTTCTATTTATAAACCAAGCTTTTGTCTCTTTCACTCATTCTTTAGAGATTTCCAGTCCTGGTTTACTAACTCTGCAATTTAAAATGTAGGTCAAGAGCATGTTACAAAGTCCTTTAATTAATTATGCTCTTCACAACTTTCGACTTCTTCCAGTAAAGAAAGCTCATCACTTATGACCTCATTTTATTTTCTATTTTTACCAGCTTTATTGAAGTATATTAGAAATTTTTATATTTTATATATTGAGAGTATACAGCTTCATGATTTACCATATGGACATAGTGAAATGATCACCGCAATCCAGAAAATCAGCATCCTATTGTTATAGGACAGGGAGAGGGTCAGCCCAAACCCCGCAAACCTGCCTATTCTAAATGGGTTCTGCCATCCACCACATCAACACAAAACATATGAGACTTTAATGGGAAGGATCTTTAATAAAATTAGGAAACAATACAGGTAAGGCAAAGAGTCTAGTTTCTAAATGAAGCACCCAAAGTTACCCGTCCCCTCGTGGGTAAAAGTCCATCCAAATGGGATTGGCCCAGAGCAAAGCCCCAAAGCCTGCCACAAGTCTAAAGCATCTTCCAGGGGGGACCCACAGAAAAGAGTCAGAAACAACCAAACAAGCCCGGAAGGAAAAGAGCAAAATCAACATCAAGATAAAAGCTGCCATGGTCACCTCCCCATGGGTCTCACCCACATCTGTGTCACCCCGTCCACGACCAAAAGACAAGCGCAGCTTCTTCACGTGTCTCTAGGCTCCATGTGTTTCCTCCAGGTCTCCTGGCTCCATCCTGCTTCCTTCCTTCCTCAGTCTCTTCTTCTGCTTCTCCTCTTCCTGCTCAGCTCCACCCTCCCTTGGGTGGGGCAGGGAAACTCCCCCTTTCCTGGGGACCACCCTGTTACACTATCACTTCACATTGTCACCTTCTTCTCCTCTTTGAGGTGGGGGTGAGAACATAGCAATTAATCTATTAGCAATTCCAATATACAACACAATATTTTTTTTAAATAATAAATTTTATTTTTATATTCCCCCATACAATTGCAACCCCCCCATTCTGACCCCAATCCCTCCCCTCCCACCCCCCACCCCCCCAAAAAGTGTCTCTGGTTCATAGTTTTTTGTTGATTTTGATTTTCACTTTCTTATAGTTATTCATTTTCCTGGTCCCTTATTTAAGTTTTCTAGATTCCTGTTATGAGTGAGACCATCCGATGTTTTTCTTTTTCTTTCTGGCTTATTTCGCTGAGCATGATCCCTTCCAGCACCATCCATGTTGCTGCAAATTGCATGTGTTTATCTTTTTTGAATGCTGAGTAATATTCCATGGTGTATATGTACCACATCTTCTTGATCCAGTCATCTATTTTTGGGCATTTGGGCTGTTTCCAAAGCTTAGCTATTGTAAACAGTGCTGCTATAAACATAGGGGTGCAGGTGCTCTTTGGAATTGATGTTTCTGTGTCCTTTGGGTAAATACCTAGGAGTGGAATTGCTGGATCATGGAAGCTCTATGTTTAGTAGGTCCAGAAATCTCCACACAGCTCTCCATAGTGGTACAACACAATATTTTTAACTATAGTTGCAATGTAGTATAATAGATATCCAAAACTTACTCATTTTCAGTGCAAGCTCTATCAAAATCCCTACAGTATCTTTTACAGAATGAGAAAAAAAAAATGTCTAAAATTCACATGGACCCACAAAAGACCCCAAATAGTCAAGGCAATCTTGAGTAAGAAGAATAACGCTGGCGGCATCACACCTCCTGATCACAAAATATATTACAAAACTACAGTAATCAAGGGATTGATACTGGCATATATATGGGCATATATATAGCAATGAAATAGAATATAGAGCCCAGAAATAAGCCCATGCATCTACAGTTACTGACCTCTGGCAAGGGTACCGGGAACACACATGGAGGAAGGATAGTCTCTTCAATAAAAGGCGTTGGGGAAACTGGTCATCCATATTCAGAAGAATGAAATTGAACCCTTACAGAAAACTTTATATAAAAATCAACTCAAAATTGATTGAAGGCTTAAAATGTGAGCAGACAGTGTAAAACTACTAGTAGAAAATAGGGAAAAAGCTTAGTTAAGGCAAAAATTTCTCTGGGTCTGACACCAAGATAATAAGCAACAACAGCAAAATAGAGAAATAGGCTGCATCAAACTACAAAGCTTTTCCACAGCAAAAGAAAGAATTATCAGAGTGTAAAGGCAACCCACAGGCTGGGACAAATATCTGCAAACCACATATCTGATAAAGGTCTAATGTCCTAAATATAGAAGGAATTCACAAAACTTGATAGTCAAAAAACCTGAATAACCCAATGTGTTAAATAGGCACAGGACTGGAATAGGCATTTCTCAAAGGAAGCCATACAAATGCTCAAGAATATGAAAAGATGCAGGCCTCCCTGGTGGCACAAGGGGTTATGACACAAAACTCTGAAGCTTTCCCCATCACAGCAACAAGAGTTGGATACCTGGCCGGCCAGGGAGGTGACTCACATGGCGCAGCAGACCTCTCCTGTCTCACCCGCTGCTCCCCTCAGCAGTGTATTTCAGTAGATCTGCCTGTTCTGCTCCCCACTCTGTCTTGGTGAATCCTCTCAACTACCCCACACCCGCATCTATGGCCAACACCCCAGTTCTGTGTATAAATAAATCTTTAAAAAAAAAAAAAAGCAGTCACAAAGATATATAGGTTTAAAAAACAGCATTATTAGAGCATTAATAAAGGAACTGCCTACACAGGAAAAATACAGGGATCTGGATGAGGCCTGAAGTCTTTCATTATGTATCATTGCTAACATCTTTATTTTAATCCTGATTTGACTGGTACTTTGAAGTTTTAGGCATTGGTGGAATAACTAAAATGTGAAAAAAATATATTTTCCTTAACTTCAAACCATAATGCTTATAGTCTACATAAGATTAGCAAGGTAAGAGTAACTTTAGAAAGGAGAGGCCTCCAATTTGTGGCCTGCCATCCAAGACACCAACATATGGCTAATGTCTGAGAAATGCAGATGCCTCTTTTAACTAATAACCAATATTAAGATCAAGAGCAGGGGGCCTCCTTGGTGGCTCAAGCTGTTAAGCACAGCACTATGAAGCTATCCGCAGCCTCTGCAGCACAAGTTCTATCCCCAGTCGGTCTGGGAGCTGACGCATATGTGCAGCGGACCTCTCCTGACTCGCCCGCTGCTTCCCTCAGCAGTGTATTTCAGTAGATCTGCCTGTTCTGCTCCCCACTCTGTCTCTGGTGAATCCTCTCACCCCCCACACCTCTGGCCTGTACCCCAGTTCTTGTATGAATAAATAAATAAATCTTTAATAAAAAAAAGATCAAGTGCAGCTGATGTCATCATACACTAAACTTGCAGTTAAGCTCTATGACACCCGTATTGCAACACGTTATCAATGTAAACACTTAAAGTTTATCATCTAGAACTCATCATTTTTATTATTCATCAAAGAGTTTTTCCTTAAGTCTATGACTTAGAAAGCGCATATAGCATATGACTTTATTTCCATAAGCTCTTCTTAGTTGGACAATTCAGTTTTTAATTTTCTACTGCATTTTCCAAGATAAAATTAGTAAGTGCAAAATATTTTTAAGTCATACTGAAGTTGTATTAGTAAATATTCTAGGGAAGGTAACAACAGAACATCCTTCCATAAAGCACATTGAAGTCACAGAAAGTCACTTGGCTTTGAAATAGAATGTGCTGCTCTACTGGTTTAAGAAGATGGAACTCCCCCCTGGAACACTGCTGACATGACTTGAGAGCTTGTCTTCAGGCCAGAGAGTCATTATTCCAGCCCAATGCACTTCAGCCAAAGGGCAAGTCCATTCCAATCACTTTTCAGATGCCAATATAGAGTTTTTTCTCGCAGAGCTCCGGGTCACTTGTGTGGTCTATGTTGATTTGTGTCGACATGTAAATGGGTCCAGCCACTTAGAAAAGTGACTCTTCGTGAACTTCCAGATCAATTGAAATGAACTATGGATTAGTTCGCTGTTAAATTACTTGGGTGTTTGCAAATTTTGATTTTCAAAGGGAATTTAAAACTAAACAGGCCATGGGAGAGATTTGCTTCTGGAATCTGAGGTGGTAATGCAGTGACCCAGGGTGACAGTGCTTCTTTGGAATCAGAGATGGCTTAACTCTGTGATCCCTTAAAGTTAGGTCATGCTAGACATCAGAATGTTCACAAAATTAACAGGGATGATGGAGAAATTTTGGAAATTAAAATGGACATTGAGTAATATTACAGAAGAGCAGATTTTTCAAAGGTCCTTAGCTCTTAATTTTTAGTCATCTTCAAGCAGTTAATAATATTTTAACATGTGAATGGACTTTTACACCCAAGTAAGTGTCTTGTTTGT